AAAAAGTTGAATTTGTTAGGCAATAGCTGATGAAAAAGCTTATACAAAAATAAATAGGGCAGTTTGATTCTGTTAAGCCATTAAGTTTTAAGTTTTTTTCAATGCAATAATCTGAAATTGAAAAATTATGACAAACCAACTCAGAGGAAAAAACATAAATAGTTAAAAAACATTTTTTAGAGACGACTCAATCTATCTCCCCGTAGTGATGCTAATAGGCTTATATGAAATGGTAATTATTATGTGGCCGAAATTCGTAGATCCCTCTAATAAACCCGGGTCGTAACTCGTACTTTATTTAGGGATTGGGCCACAGAGGTGACTCTAATGGAGAGGTCCTAGCACCACCCCCCCCCCCAATACCATATTTCAAAGAAATTGCATATTGTTAAAAACAATAAAATATAATAAATTACAAAAAAAAACATATTATACTATTGAAAGTTTTCAGAAAATTACTACTTAGCTCCCCCTCCCCTCAAACAAGTATCTGGAGCCGCTCCAATTGGGCCGCAGCTCACTACACTGAGTATCGCATACTTTTATTACAGGTATGATATGACATTAGGTACTATTATTGTTAGTGCAAATAAAATACTGTATAGGGTCAGTGGCGTCATTTGAACAACGCGTAAGGTATTCACTTGCGGTTTAGGTATTTTTAAAAATCCAATATTATTGTGATTTTGGCCATTTCTTAAATTAGTTGGCCTGAAAAATAGATAAATTCTAAACAGGGTCTATGGCCTGCAAAAAATTATGAGTATTAAAAAAAAATTGAAATACTGAACCTATCTATATATAGGATATTCAAACACTCGCAAGCTGTAAATGCCTATTATAGGCGGCTTGTGTAACTTTTTCCCCAACTCCGAAGCTCTCGAAAAGATACCATTCCGTTTGCGATCCCTGCAACCTATGTGGACATATTGTGAGATATGCGTACAGATCCCGTCACATCAAAATTGTATTATGTCTACAGTTTAAGTGTAATATTATACTCGAGTAATAAATTAAGTAGGTAATTAATTTAGTAATTAAGTAATGAATTAAAATAAACTAAGAAAAACAGCTAGGACATTAATCTGGGGGAGATATAACTGCACGTCCTTCATCGTAACATTAACCGCGATTTCCGTAAACTGTTGACAAGTTGAAGCAAGTTAATGAGTCATATAATTATGTATAGTTGTTGGTAGGTACCTACTTGAAATTGTAATTATAAATATGTAGATATAATAATATTTTAATACGTTGTATTTATTTATTCATTTATTTATTTTAACATTTTTGTTTAAATTATGCACAAGCTGATTGAAAAGTAATAGGTATCGAAGTAGCAGGCACTAACATCCATGTAAAACTATTGTAAACACGAGTTATATCCCATTCCAAATTTCTCAAGCAACTTGTTACATAGGTATAGGGCACTAACCCGGACGGAAGACCATACATGCGATATGCGAATTGACGTCCTCTTAAACAAATCTCAATTACATAGGTATAATAATTTATGTATTTCTATAGCAATCCCTCCCGGCGTGGCCCATATACCAAAATTATTATTATTATCTGAAACTAATGGCAACCTCATAAATCAAAAATAATAAAACAGTAACCTATATAGGGGTTGAAAAAATAAGCTAATAAACACGCCCTCCATTATGTCCCATTGGGATAACTTAAAACAAAGTGAACTGAAAAATAAATATAGATAGTTTTAAAAGATACAATTTTTACTTATCCCAATACAAGAGTCTTACATAATATAACATTTTTATTTAATATAATTATTAATTAATATACTTATAACTCAATGTATGTATTGTATTGTAATGTATTTATTGTCAATTTATTATTTATAATTTATTTTCAAAGTAAAAACTCCAATCTTCTTGTCTTCATAACAGCAAACCCGTTAATAACAGCCGATGAATTATCCATAAATTGCCCACTTATTATTCTTTCTATGGAAATTAAAGTCAGATCATTAATTAGTCTAGGACTTTTCATAGTTGATCTGAGGTATTTTTTCACTTTTACATACAGTCGAAATGCCGAATTACAATAAAAATTCAATTACCGACTTTTTTAATTCTTCATATCAAACTTGATAACTTTGTACCTACTTCATTCAACAATTCAGAAAGATAAAACTTAGACTGTTTGATAAGGAGGAAAATGGCGACAATAATAACAAAAAACAGCATTTATTAGGATTTGTCATAACTGAATATTCCAACCAAGGATACTTACTAAGTACGCAACTACTTTGAAAACATCGATGTTTTCCTGAAATGACTATACGTGGAAAACTAATAACGTAGGCTTCACAGCACTTTCGTCACAAGTTGATCTTAAATAACGTTAAGTTTGAAAAGTTCATCTTAATTTGTTTGTTTTGAATCAGATTTTACTGATTTAACTACTGTAAGTGATATACAATTCTAAGAAAAAATCGATTTTTGGATTCTCCAAAACACATGAAACATTTTCATCGACACGATTTGATTTTAAGGGGCCTCGCTATAGCATTGATTTAAGGAGCAACATTAAGAAGGCCCCTTTAGTTATTAAGGCCCAGTTGTGATGTGTAGGCGATGTATCCAACGTAGCGGGCATGACTTACTTACATCAATCTGCGTGTGGTCATTTGGCATTTACGTTGTAAATAGGTATGGAAAACTATTTTCTTTTGTATAGAAAATATTAAATAATATATCATGAGTACCCTGTGTGCCCTTAGCATAATACTGGTGTAAGTACGTGTAAAGGAACCGTGAATATATTAATTTAAATATTTTTTTTTGAGAGAAAATATGGGTAGGTAGTCCCAAGAAATCAATTGATACCTATCATTTTTATTGAAAACGGTCCAGTATATAGTTGATATGTATCTCGTCGTTTATAGTTTAACGCGTTAAGTCTATAGATTTGCGAATTCGATACTGTTGCTATTGCTAATTCTGTTGTTATATAATAATATTATGTACAAGGTCTCGGTCACAGCAGCCGTTCGCTTATTAAGAGAACGTCACACCCGATTGTCATATTAAGTTTCCGTCTTACAACAACGTATAGACCATATACGTATAGTACCTATACAATATATTACAGCAATAAATTTCGAACCAGAACCGATTTCATGTTGTTAGCTTTAATAATATTAAATTGATATTCGCACCTATTAATTTAAAGTTAAAAACATGTGATTTATTATAATGATATTATAGTGTACTACTGACTGTTTGTTTTGATTCCATATTTTCCATATTCTATATTAAAAATTTGAATTTCAAACGCTCATAAAAATTTAATTTGACTTTCCGGTAGAGATTTTTTTATTGATAAAGGTAGACAATCTTATGAGTAATCTTGTATTAGATTTTCAAATCTTAGATTTAAAAAGAAAAATTTTTACGAATTCTTAACTCAAAATAATTTGCTAATTTTCGTGATTTTTCCATATTTTGTCAATTTTTGAACTTTAAATGCTTATAAAAAAAAATTGTGACTAAGGATTTTTAATATTTTTCATCTGCCTTTGAAACAATATATTAGGAGCCTTCTATTAAATTTTCAAGCTTTCGCAACCAACAAATAAAATTTTATTGATATTTCTAGAAAAAAAACTAAAAAAAAACGAAAAATGAAAATGTCCCTAAACTGTTCAAAATAAATCAAAATATTTTGAAAATGTTATCGTGTATAGAAGATGCAAATATAAACAACCAGTGAAAATTGCATGTACCTACGGTCATTTATTTTAAAGTTACACCAAAAACCAAATTCAATTTTCTGAAAAATCGATTTTGCGTAAAAATTCCCGGTTTTCCTTAATTTTTCTTTTGTTTTTCTTGGCGCTTTTGAAAAGTACTGGGAATTTTAAATTTTGACCTCCCCAATGCACCAACGATATTCACTTTCCAATCGAACAAGATACTGAAGTCGAAAATCGAAGCATTATTTCGACTACTTATCGTGTACACAGATACAAAAAAAATTAAAAATTAAAAAATAAAAAATAAATTTAAAAACACACATCATTGTAAAATCAATACATTCATCGTTCCACTCAGAATCTAAAATTGGTTTTAGCTACCCTTATGAGAATAATATCTGTATTTTAATCATTATTGAAATATTTGACCTAACCAGCTTAAATAAAACCATTATACAAAATTGTACCTGCACAAAGTTGTTTTGCCAAAAGAAAGTAGGTATGCAATGTCTTATAACTCGTATACCTACGTTTGAAAACATTTGGTTGACATCTGTGGGAGTCTGTCATCTTTTTAACAAAATATTGTTTCATATTTTAACCTGCGCACGTGATTTTTCGGCTATAAAAGCCGAATGCGATCCTGGTTTGGGTGCCATATGTTAAATCGTAGATAGAAATATCGATTTTATCATGTTGTTGCAGGCCTCGTCGTCGAGAACGAATTTATTATTCTTTCGAGTCCGTCGTCGAGACATCCACGGATAGATATACACTTGCAGCAGTAGCTAGGATTTTTCAAGTGGGGATATAGGTACAATTTTTAATAGACATTCAATAATCAATATACACAATACACATATTATATTTATAATTTATATTATTATATATATATGTGTGTACCCCCCGTAGATACGATACTGACTTGCAGGTCACATAGTCCAACCATCTATGCTGAGGTTTAGGGACTCTGCAGTGAGCCCAACCAGTCTAAGTCCAGCCCAAATCACTTGCCCAAATACATTGTAATTTCCACATACTATATAGATATAGGTATCGCCAAAAACCTTGCAGACGATAATATTATAGTGATTAAGGTATTCGTGACATCTACCGATCACATTCAATAATATTAAATTGAATAAATAGCTGTTCTTAACGCGGGGGTTAGAGAGAGAAATCATCATATTATATATTTATAAACTGTCGACGAGAAGACGCTGCGGACTTCCTGCAAATTGCAAGTCTTATTTTAACGGTTTTACGCTCGAAAACTCACCTCTGTACGTTGGCTACGTCTCCCCGCTGCACAGCCAACAGGTATTTTTTCTCTTCCAGCGAAAGGGATTTCGCCGACTTCCTGTCTTTGCCCATTCGGTTCATGTCGGTGCTGCTGCTGCGCGGTTATAACGATGCAGACCAGTTTGCCGCGAACATTATAATTATATTAAAATATTATGAACAACTGTTTCGTCGGCCGCGCTTCCGAAAAGCTCGGACATCCTCGGATAGAGATTTGCGGGAAACGAACTCACTTGGCGGGAAAAACGACGACGGCTCTCCCGATAGCAAAGCGATATGGCGGGGGGGCGGGAAAAGCGATAGCGGCTGGACACCGGGACGATATACACGGCGACGAGGAGCTACTCAGTGGCAGTTTTACACTATCGTCGTGTTCGAGTCCACTGGTGAAAACTGTTGTACCGGCGCAATGCAGGAAACCTGTTGCACCGTCGTCGCTGATCGTGTGCGATAGCCGCCGGATAGCGGTAGTCCTTGGCCGCTGTTTGTCCCGCCGCCAAAATTCAATAACAAACAAAAAATGTTTATCTTTTACCTACCTATACCTTATATTATTATGCGCGAATAAAAATAAAATCTATCCGGTTAGACCGGGTTTCCGAAGGTGATCTCGGACCGACGTTTGCGCGACGTCACGATCGTTTGCCGCACGGATAATATAGGTAGTCGAGGCGCGGCTGCGGCGACAGCATTGGACTTCGCCGTCGTTTTCAGCGCCATTCGACAACATCATAATAATATATTATACCTAATACTGGTCACGTGTGAGTGTGTGACATAAATAGTGCACCGCCGACGTCGCGATTAAAGTAGGTATTATAGGTATTCGTTAGTCGTTAGTCGTAGGTATGTGTAATATTGTGAGGTGTGCGGGGTCAAGCGTATTTGGGTACGCAGGCGCCTCACCCCGGCGAGGTGATGCATGTAGGAAGACCACGTGAGGCGATTCCTTCACCTCTTCACTTGTTGCATCGGTGGACGACCTGATCGACCCTCATTCGCATTTATGTAGATTGACTGTGCTCTTCGTTCGGACGTTAATGCAGATCAGTGATGCCCAAAATTATTTTGGAGAGCTATATAATTGTAGGAGGTAACATTTTACCTTTGTGTGAGCAACCTTTAATAGAAATTCATAATATATACATAGAAGGTATAATATTATTTGTATATTAAGTTTGAACATACAAATTTTACTAGTACAATGGCCGCCAATGGGGACATCACTGTCATGACAAAAACATATGCATTAGGTGCTATTGAAAAATGTAAAACCATTGGTTTCATTTGAACCATAAAACTAACAAATCAATTAATGAATGTACAATAGCTATCTGAACTCGTTCTCTTCTGAAACCGGTTATTAACTAAAAATATATAATTTTAAAGGACAAGGTGAAACACAACTGTTACCCTGGGGTGTGAAGTTTAGAGTCAATTCTAAGAGAATGAGCAAACACATCTTTTATGGATTTAATTTTTATATTTACTATATACACACAATTTTACAAACTAAAATAGTGTATTTGTGGAGATATATAACTCTCTATAATGAAAGGATGTTCATAGTATAATTATATAATATAAGTTTTAAAAAAAAATTAAAGCTATATTATAATATAGTTCATAAAAATTCCAATAAATAAATAAGTTTACAAACAAAAGTAATAATATGGATGATAACAATTTGTAGCCATTATAAAAATAATATATTATGTGAAAATGATTGGTACAAAATATCACAGTTTATTTTTTCGTGTATTGGATTTTTTCGATCTTTACTTCATCGTCAACCAACCTGTAGACATATGATACCACTGTTGAACTTTGGATATCCATTACCACAAAGGAAGGAATAATGTCACTAAAAAATTTAAAATTAAATAATTTTTAGCCTTGAAATAACTTTTTTTATTAAATGTAACAAATAAATATTATCAGAATATCTAATATTGAGTAAGATAGTTTTTAATGTGGTAAGATATTAATAATAATAAATAATAATAATAAACCTCTTCGTAAACCACAAACTGCCAGTAAAACAAAAAAATTATTGATTCTTAGATGAAAATTTAAAATCTTAATAAACAAATAGGTTAGCCTAAAATTGTATAGAATAAAATCAAATAAGTAATATTATCTACTCTGAATAGTAAAACCTATTAGGATATATTATATTATTATGTAACATCTAAAGTAATAACAAGAGTAATAATTTTATGGAGTGAAATAGAACAATATTATAATGAATACTTGCTGCCTAATAATCTAAATGTTTTCCTAATAAGGTAGTTTAGGTTTCTAAACATATGTAGGGTTATGGGGAAAACGATCATAGTTAAAAGAAAGAAAAAATCAAATAATTATAGAACCTACACCTTTCGTTAGTTTCATAACAAATAGATACGTGAATCGAGTTATGGAAAATAATATCACGGTCAATGATATAATACAGGTTTAAATATTACCATAAAGGGGAAAAAAAGGCCAGAGTCCCACTTTAAAACTGCAATACTGAACATTTTAGGAATATTGACCATTATCGTTTTTCCCCGTAACCCTTCATATGTTTATAGCAATTTATATCCTCGTTGTGTCCGTCCGTCCATTAGTTAAGGTTGTTGATATTAAAATATTTATTTATTGTTAGATGTTACTGTACATAAATTTTATTGTATATGGAATTATAATTTTTTTGTTCAGAAGTCAGGAATTTAGAACGCTCTCACAGAGTGAGTTTTCCTAACTTGTTTAAATTATATGTATATTAATAAAACACTGTAATTATATGAATTTTGGGAAACATAAAAGGTCTTGTGAACTGTTTGAAAACATTTTAAACAAACTTAATACCACATTATTTTATATATCTGTGTTTTAAACCCTTCATCAGCCTATCACAAAAGTTATATATATTAAAACTATTTGATTAATCATAATAAATTAACTGTGAATGTACCTATAATCTATATAAAATATTTTTTATTTGTATTTACTATAATATAACTTATAAGTAGAGACTGTATTTATATGCGTTTAAAGCCTTAAAGTCTTAAATACAAAATGTTTCTATGCTCTATAATTTCATCAAAATATTCTTTTTCATAAAAATGTATTAAATACTGAAAAAACAAATAGAAGTAGCAGTTTATAAAAATTATAAAATAGTTAAATTAATCCTAGGTAATCTTTAAAAAATGTTTCAGTCATATTTTGTCATAGCGGCCGGCTTGCTGTCTCTCGTTGAGACCAGACACGCTTCCCTCAACGCTCAATGTCACCACGCTAAACCCAAGTCCTCATCTCTCGTCGAAATAAACGTAGTTGGCGGCCGACTTGTGCACAAAATACTACACGGTTTCTATAAGGTTATAGAAACTGACAAAGGTCAAAATTATTTTGCATTTTTTATAAACCATTAAATTTAATATAAAATGCTCAAATTAAACTCCAATATGGCAATATAATCCTTAGACATATTATTTTGCACAAGATATTTTTAAACCTTATAATATGCTTTTATATTCACTAAAAATTTTTGTATATCAGTTCATATAAAAATGAATTGTCGAGAAAGCTTATCCAATTGGAGCTGCATACAAGCAGTAAAAATATGTAAAAACATAAAAATCCAGTCTCTACTTATAAGGTAGGTACATTTCTATAAAATAATTTTTATAAATAATAAATATAATTTAAAATCTATAACATACTTTAAATACTTGTTACAAAAATTATTTTATAGGCTTCTGTTGATTTGAATAAGAAAAATAAATATTAGTTTAGAAAATGGTGAGTGCTAGCACAACTGCTAAAAAAAGAACTGACTCTTTTTGCATGCTTTAAAATGATTATAAGTATACTAATATAAAAACAGATATTTTATGAACAAGAATTTACATTTATTATTCAAATGAATTATGGTAGGTAGTAGGTACTAAATAACTTTTGTTAAAATATTAGGTTATCTGTAATTTATAAGTCTTTTATAACTTTTTGTTTTTTTGAGATAACAAAACATTTTTATAATTTATTATTAATTGGAACTAGTCATAGGTATTGTAAAATAGATTATTTAAGTATTATACTATATTAAGAGTAAGACTTATAAGATAATACGTTTATTAACATAATATGAAATAAATTATTATCCCAGTGCCTACTAACAGTTATGATTAATTATTACTTTATATTGATTGCAGAAAACTAATGTATTAAAGTTTAAAGATCTTACGGGTTTAACGGATTAAAAGCTCCAGTAGCTGATCCTGGATTTAAGAAAAATTTATTTCCAAGTTCGAACGCATCAAACTTATGAGTGTGACCAAACACCAGTACGTCTACGTCTAGTTGTCTCTGGAGTAGTGCCAGAGATTCTGGATCACCCCACGGTATCACTTGGTGGCCGTGGCATAGGCCCACTTTAAACTGTCCGACGTTCACTACCTTTTGGTCTGGATAATTGAGGTTCTAAGAATATTAAAATGAATCAGAAATGTCAAAGTGTTGATGTATACAGTTTTCTAATACGTTACCTCGTCGAAATCACCGCGCACAATGTGCACATCATTGGCGATAGACTTTAAGAACTCGTACATCTCTTTCGTGCACAGGTTGCCCGTGCACAAAACGTGTTGTATTTTACCCGGAGTCAACAGCTTCTTGAATTGGGCCGGTAGTCCGCTGCTGCGGAACGGCACATGCATATCTCCGATCACCAACACCGAACACTGAAAGTAATAGATAATTTTTGTTGTTATGTAATTAGTTTCTCGGTTTCTATGGATGTTCGTTACACATTATCGGGAAAACTAAACGAATTCCTGAATCCAGTAAGTCTTACCATTTCGAGTTGTTCGTGCGTCTATTGATCCGGAATGGACAGCACCAATATACGAGTCGACGAAATTCGGCTTTGTTTGTTTCGGTAGATTAATCGAAAATGTTTCAACATCAACGAAAAACCGAATTCCTGTGTAAACGAAAACAATCACAAGACCGATTCGTGTTCGCCATTATCACGAACGCCTTATCGCTGCACGAGAGAAAAACTCGAACAACAACTTCTTGACCGGGTAACC